AAATATATATAAAAAAAATTAATATAAATATATATATATAAATTATATATATTTATATATATATAATATATATATACATACTATTATATATTTATTTATATATAAATATATATTATATATACTATTTCATTATAATAATAATATATAATATATAGTATTAATAATAATATAATATTATTATATAATATATATATTATATATATATAATATATTATATATATACCAATATACTATTTATAATATTTAATCATATATATGTACTAATATTATATAATATATATATGTATATTACATATATATTATATATATATCTATCACGTGTATATGTTGTTATAAATAATATTAAATATCAACATATATTATATATATTTATAATAATAATTTATATATTTTATGCATATGCATACTTAATCGGTTACAATCAACTTTTATTTTCTAGTATTTCCATATTATATGTGTAAACCTTAACATAAAATGTATTTATTTATAGATATATAATAGTAAGTATAATAATCTATTATTATACATGTGTATATAAGAAATATTATACATGGTTATAAATATATGAATAATAATAATAAATTTTTATAATATATATATATTAATATATATTATAATTATTTACAACCAAAACACAACTCACAACCATACACCCACACACACACACACTCCATATACACACACACACACACAACCCATATACTACACAACACACACAACAACAACATAAAACACAACACACACACACACACACACACACATATATAAACACACAACCATACATACAACACACCATACAACACACACACACCAACACACACAAAACACACACACTCATACTTCACCACACACACACACACACATCACACACACTCACACACACACACACACACACAACACACATCACAACACACACACATCCACCACCATACAAAAACTATATATACATTATACAATACAACACACATAAAACAAAAACAATATATACATAATATATATATAATACATACATAACCCAATACCCACACACCCATATACACACCTACACACACATATACACACCAACAATATACATCAAACATATACACACCTATACACTATATACATATCCATCTAATACCCCACGTGTATACCCGTTAAACCTCAGTGACCTGGTCACGAACGTTCCACGACCGCCAATAGCCCAGAAAATAAAACCCAAATTTATCTGCACAACACAACCGGTGCTTACCCCCGCCCCCCCCAATTTTTTTTCTCCACGCTCCAATTTTCCCCACTTCCTGTTTGTGTACACCTAACAAAAACCCTCGCCTTGTAGTCCGTCTCGGTCAGACGTGCGTTCATTCGTTGTGAACTCGAGGATAAGGGATAAAGTACCATCCTCTTATTTCCTCCTGGGTACTTAGAGAAAACGTAGTGTAGTACAGTGCTGTTATAACACTGTAATGCACCATAAAACTAAGTAAGTTTATTCAGGTATACACAAATACAGTTACATAGATTATCATACATAGCACCATATGTGTAGAGAACCTAGGATAACCCAAAAAAAGTCAGTGACTTATTTTCTTAATTTTTTTTTTCAATGCACGCTCGTTTTCGTCGGTTATAAATTACAGTAATTACAACAGTGATAAATTCAGATTAGGAATGTTTTATCAGTAGACGGTGCAAAAACAGCTTCTCGCAGTGCCACTACCTGGTTATGGCTTGCCATATATGATTTTTGGTAAATATTTTTTCTCTCACTTGTTTGTTATGCTATCTTATTAAAACTTGGGCAAAATATGATGGAAAGATGCTTCTTAACGTACACTAGAAATGAAAGAAGTTGGAGGATAAATAACGGAGTTTACTTCTCGGCCATTAGACATCTCTTAAAACTAAAAAAAAAAAAAAAAAAAAAAAAAGAAAACCTGTTTACAGCGAACGGTTCGTAGGGGGTCTAGGATGGAGTCGTGCCATGTTAGTTTTCTCTGTTCAAGGTTTTTACATTTAGTTTACTATTACACTGTGCATTCTGAGGTATAATTAAAATTTTTTTGCTTAAAAATTAAAAAAAAAAAAAACTACATGCAGTTCGTAGGGGTCTGGAATGGATTAATCGTATTTACCTACAATCCAGTGGGGAAATAGGTTCGGGTCGCGACCAGAGTTTTGGACTGAATTATGGTCGTGACCAGAGGTTCCACTGTATATTATGTATATATACATATGTAAATATATGTATATTATACATATGTATATTATGTATATATACATATATATACACATGTATAATATATATAATTTCCTACTTATGTGATTTTCTTATTGAATCTTCACAATATTGAACCCTGATAGCTTTCCATGTGCTTTTGTAGCTCCATTTCTCTCTCCATAACCAAATTAGTTCTATGTGGTAACACTTGCATCTGTTACAACTGAGATGTGTGTGATAACAGCTGCTGCTGCTGTTATAACTCAGCACTATGTGGTAACACCTATTTGTTATGACAGA